TATATTTTTCTTGACAGCAGTTTTTTTCTCTAAGTTTTTCAAGGCTTGGAGATTGATTGATATTGTGTTTTTTTGAAGTGATCCCAATGTTATAACCACTTCCTCCTTTTGTTTTTCGTTACAGGCTGTAGATTTGAATATTTTTACCCTCTTCCTGGCATTCTGCATCATACTGTTACATCTAATTTGTTTCTATTCCTATTTTATGTTTTTGCTTTCTACTGGCTATGTTACTGCAGTTTGTCTTATATCCCTTCCTGCCTAAACCAAACCTGCAAAAACCACACTTATATCTCTCTTCTCTCTCATAAGTACCATTTTGACATAAAAATGATGTTATGTTGTACTGTTCTGAAAAACAATAGTGCTGGAAAATGATGAATGAGGAAATATTTGCTTGCATAATGTTTTTAAACTGCATATTCTCTTTTTGTCTTGCATGGGAGCCTATGTTACTTCTCCTATATGGCTGCAGGTTAACGTTGGCTTTGCTTGTGGGAAATGGCATATGCTGTTACTTTTTATATGCTATGGTCAAACATTTGAATTGATGCATATTGTCTTGAACCATGCAGTGGGTTTTTTGAAAATGCAATTGATTTGAAAAATGCAATTTTGGACAAAAATGAATTTGTGCATTCATTAAAAAAATTCCTCCCTTTTTGTGAACCGGGAGAAATCCCGCGATTTGCAAAGAGGGTAAACTGATTCCAGCCATTGTTTTTAATGATGAACATTAAATAATTTTGCTTTTAATTATTTGTTCGAATTCTAATTTCTTTTAATTTTGCAGGTAACATCAAGTGAGCAGACAAAAAAGCATTGGATAGAAGATTTAGAATTAGAAAACATTAGATTAGTTTTTTATTTCATTTTAATTTTTGTAAAATTATTATTGTAAATTCGTTGTAATAAATACAATATTTACACAATAATTGTACAATTAGAATAAAAATGAATAAAATTCCAATGTTTGCCAATTAATTTCTTCCTTCCCTAATTATTTATTTTATCGTTTACAATTCTTTAATCGTATAATAATTGAAAATAAATTTCAATTACCTAAATTCAGAATAATAAACAGATAAATAAATAATATCATTGATCAATTAATAGTTTCAATTATTTAATTCATTATCCATAATTTTCTAAATTATAATAATTAAAATAGAATTTCAATTATTTAACTTAGAATGATAAATGATTAAATAATCATTATTGACCAATTAATGAACTTTTTCAAATATTTATTATATTATTCATAAATCTTTAAATTATGTAATAACTTGAGAATAAATTCCAGGTATTTAAATTTAAGATAGTGAATAATAAATGAATACTGTCTGCACAATTAATACGCCTCTTTCCTAATGTTTATTTTATTATCTATACATCTTTAAATTACATAATAATCGAAAACAAACTCCAATTATTTAAATTTAAGATAATAAATAATTAATAAACATTATTTTAGCACGAATCGATCAAATAATTTAATGTTCAACATAAATAGCTCTCAGCCTGAAAAAGTTATGAATTTTAAAATCAATGGATCAAAACACTTGCAATGCGAATGATGCAGATAGGAGATGATATCTTAGGTCAAAATTTGGGGTACAACACATGGCATCCAAATATTGTTTTTCTATGCAGGTAGCAAGTCGTAACAGTCACCTCGACCTAGCTTATATCATCGTAACCCCCTGCAGACAGTTGAGAACACAATTCACCAACATTGAGGAAACTTGGGGCATTCTAGGAGATCTATGTCTCTACCCATCAATCCACAAGAAGTCTAGGATGTAGGGAAAATCATATCAAGCTACTCCTCCCCAACAAGACTACAATATCTCTCCTCAGTAAGACTATAACTCAATCCTCGAGTTTTCAAGCACCGATATATATTTCTATCTCAAGATGACAAGCAACGGACCCCGATAAGCCTAATCGTTTGCACTCTGCATATAGTAATCATCATTGCATATTACATTACATCCTCAAACGCATAGCATATCCATTGAAATGGATCATTACGCCATACAAATGCATACGAAGCATAAGCCAAATTTGGTACCTTACAAAAAAGCCCAAATCAATCCTCAAAATAGTAATACATCCCCATAAATAATGCCATCCTCATAATTCCCAGTTGACATCCATCATTACACTATAAACCAAAATAGCCACGTTCTCAGTACATTGTACTCCCAACTCTCAATACCCTTTGTCAATCTTTTCTTGGGTCGCAGGTCGTCCATAGATCTTACGCTCTAGTTATCTTTTCTTGGGTAACGAATCTTGCACAAATCTTACCCTCATGTTATCTTTTCTTAGGTCGTAGATCGTCCATAGATCTTACCCTCATGTTATCTTCTCTTGGATCATAGATCATACGCCGATCTTTACCCTTTGTAAATATTTTTGGTTCGCAAATCCTACACGATAGATTCTCCGTTGTCGTCAATTTTACCCATTATCTTTACCTTTCTTTTTGGGTCGTGAATCCTACACGATGGATTCTCCGTTATCATCGATTTTACCCGTTGTCTTTACCTTTCTTTTTAGATCGTGAACCCTACACGATAGATTCTCTGTTGTCGTCGATTTTACCCGTTGTCTTTACCTTTCTTTTTGGGTCGCGAATCCTCCACTATAGATTCTCCGATGTCGGTGATTTTACCCGTTGTCTTTACCTTTCTTTTCAGGTCGTGAATCCTACATGATAGATTCTCCGTTGTCATTGATTTTACCCATTTTCTTTACCTTTCTTTTTGGGTCGCGAATCCTACACGATAGATCCTCTGTTATCGTCGATTTTACCCATTGTCTTTGCCTTTCTTTTTGGATCACGAATCCTACACGATAGATTCTCCATTGTCGTCGATTTTACCCGTTATCTTTACCTTTCTTTTTTGGTCATGAATCCTACACGATAGATCCTTCGCTGTCATTGATTTTACCCTTTGTCTTTACCTTTCTTTTTGGGTCGCGAATATTACAAGATAGATCCTCCGTTGTTGTCAATTTTACCCATTATCTTTACCTTTCTTTTTAGGTCGCGAATCCTACACGATAGATTCTCCGCTGTTGTCTATTTCACCTGTTGTCTTTACCTTTCTTTTTGGATCATAAATCCTGCACGATAGATTCTCCACTGTCGTCGATTTTACCCATTGTCTTTACCTTTCTATTTGGGTCGCGAATCCTACACGACAAATTCTCTGCTGTCATCGATTCTACCCATTGTCTTTATGTTATCTTGTTGTCATTGATCCTACTTTTAGTCACCATGTCATCATCAACCATATAATTTCAATCACTATAACACCCACTTCCCCGAGAACCTTGTATTGGCATTGTTATCCTGTTACAAGCTATCACTACTCAACCACATTTATCCATCATAACCAGTTCACCAGAAAACAAATTTTCTATCCCCAACAGACATCACAAATAATAACACTTACACCATCTCTTCAGAACAAATTTCAGGTCTTGGTATTTAATCTTCTTCTACCTTAAATGATCGAAAGGTTGACGACAATCTCACTTTCAGGTTTAAGACGATTAAATAGGGGCACCTGTCATATCCCAAATTTGTCTTACCTTTTCAATTTTATCTGGCTTAGACTTTGAATTTCATTTGCATCATTTTCATTAGGTCATTCACATATAATTCCTTCATTCAATAAGGCAGTGGTTCAAAGCATCAGTGATTGTGTCAACTAGGGTTTAATTTTGGTTTGAGGCTTCTACATTCTACAGTTGATTTCCCTGGTTCCTCCTTGGGCAGTGGACGGTGTAATCAGGTTTTGAAGTATGGTTATCATGAGTTATTATTCATCCATCTACAAGGCTATTCTCCGTCCAAATTCATTAGAGCCTAGATTAGGGTTTTTTTCCTTTTTTCTCAAGAGATTAGGGTTTGGTCATCCACACGAGGATCTCTTTGTGGCTATTCATATGTGGTGTTTATCAGTTGAAATAAGGAAAAGGAACTATCTTTCTTAATCATTATGCATCCAGTACGAGTGGATTAGGATTCCTCATTCGTGTTTGAGCTTGTTAACATTCCTCAAAGTGAAGATTACGATTAGGTTTTTATCGCAAGGATATTCTTCTATGTTACAAGTCTCAATCATCTTCTTACGAGGATTCTTCAAGTGCATTTATTTTGTGATTAAAGTTATCAAGGGAAGGAAGAATTTTTCAAGACAGAGGGTTTGTGATTCGAGTTACAAAAGTTTGACGCATGATACAAGAGACGTTGATTGTAGACTCATTTTATGATCAAGGCATGGTTGCTCACTCAACTGTTTGTTGCTTGCAAATACAAATAGGTTTGAATATAAAATTTGGTTTTAGGTTTCATTGAGAAGTGAAGTGGAATTCATTCATTCAAGAGATCTTTTGATTAAGGTTTTAAGCGTGCAAGAAGTAAGAATCCATTCATGAGGTTCTCTTAAAAAACAAGATGCAAGAGTTAAAGTTCAACGAAAAGTTACATAATTCAAAGATTTAAATTCAAGCTATATTCAAGTTTGCTCAAATTTTGACACTACTCCGCTCATCATTTTCAATTTCATCCAAGAGTATTCATCAAGATCAAGTTAGTTCATTCATGGATTTCAAGATTCAAAGTTATCATTCCATTCATGTATATTTAAAGTTTATCTAAAACCATTTCATTCAAGGCCAAAATTCATTCGTCTCAAGTCAAGGCATTTTCAAGTGTTCAATGTTACAAGTCCCAAACTCAATGATCAAAATTAGTTCATGAGATAATGTCCATTCATTCAAAATATATCATTCATGGCCATTTATCAAACTTGACTTAACATAAACCAAAATTCATGACATTGTTACTTTGCTCCATGGCTACAAAACTTTATCCAAATACAAGCATTACAAAAAACTTCAAGCACTACATTTTGAACCTAAATCAAAATCCTAATTCATTTCCTAAAAATCTAAACTCTTCATGCCTTTGTTAAACTCCCTTATGTCCAAAACAATTCCCAAAAAAATGGTTCTTGCAATAATTCCATACAAGCCAAAGTTGTTGCCCACAAATTTAGCCCTCCACTTTGACCTGCAGCCCTGCTAAATTGTCCACAAACCTCCAAAACATATTCCAAACAGAGGAAATCCTTGCTAAGGATTGTCCATAAAACAACAAAAATCCAGCCCTGCATAATTCGTGCCATAACCTGTGCCAAAACAACCTGCTACAAAAAGCCAAAATCTGCACAAAACAAACATGTCCATAAACCACCAAAACAGCCTTGCAATGCTACTTGTACCAGTCCAAATGCTGCTGTCCAAAAACCCTGTTATTGTTGCGCAGACCCTGCTCCATAAACCAGTCCCTATCCCAAATAAAATCAGCCTTGCATCATACTGTCCAACCTGCAAAACAGTCAAAAAACACGTCAAGGGCTTGTTGCCCATAAACAAACATAATAGTCCATGAACCTGCTGCTAATGTTGTCCCAAACCAGTCCAAATGGTGTTGTTCAACCTGCTGCAACTTACACAAAATAGCTAACAAAAAAACTGCATCAAGAAAGCAACAAAGCACGACAACAAATCTATTCAAAACTCATCAACTTTTCCCCCTAAATTTCATCATTTCTTTCTCTATAAATTGGGACTTCAACCAACGAAAAAAACACAAAACTACAAACAAAAAACACAAAGAAACAGTAGAGAATCCACCCCCCTAAAAAAACTCTCAAATAACTATACTCACCTTAAACAAAACTCTGCTCAAGTTACACAAAAAGTTGTTGCCTCCTCTCACCTTCAAAACCAACACGCACGCCCTTCATTCAACCCCACCCTCACAAACCTACAACAAAACTGAGAGAAAATAACGAATCCACAGTGGCCTCTAGAAATAACTAGCACATCTAAATTTTTGAAGAAAGAAGAAAAGATACAAAAACTCTGCCACATACATACCTCATCAAATCCAGAAAAACCCTCCTCGCTGTAGGTAATTCTTTTTCCCACTTGGAATGTTGTTACTGCCATGTTTTCTGAATTGTAACTGAGAACTCGAAACTGTGAATCTTAGTTGTTATTAAATCATGAACCAAACTGAGTAAACCAATAACTAATTGTTTTATTGTTGTTCTGAAAACTGATTTGGAGCATAAGACAGTTTAGCGATTGAGGGAGATGAATAGGAAACAAGGAGATCTAACCGTGAATTTTGTTGTGGCTTTGTTTTCCGAGCGAACCGATTGAAATAGAGTCTTCAGTTTTGTTTCGCTGTGAGAAGAGGCGAGTTTGAGTAAAAGAAAGAAAAAGAGAACATGAAAGATGTTGAAGAGAGTAACGTTCGGTTGAAATAAACAGAGACAGAGCTCATGAAGTGAGAAGAAGCGGTCATACTTCAAGAGGAAGGTCGTTTGGCTTTTTGTTTCACTTAGGGTTTTTAAGCATGTTTCCATCACCTGTCTGGGTTCAGACCCCTCTGGCCCGGTTCGGCCCAACATATACTTTTTTTTTTAATTTTCAATTTATTACTTTGAACTATATTATTTCCTTTAATCCCCCACAAATTCATAAAACTCACCCCAATTTTCTGTTTCACACTCTTATCCTTTTTTTAATTAAATTTTTTTTCTTAAATGATTTTCTTAGTTTATTAATTTTAACCTTTTAAGCTTATTTCTTAAAACTAATTAAATAATCTTTTTTAGATGTTTTAAATTACTTAGTTTGGCCTTTGGGAGTGATTCAATAATTTTTTCTGTGAGATTTTAATTTTTGTTTAGCATTTTAACTATTTGTTTAGTTACATTCCTTTGTTAGATAAAAGTATGCAAAAGATATTAGTTTTGTATTTCTGTTATTTCTATTTTTACTTTGTGTTGATTGCTTGGTTAATTTCTTGATGACATGTTCCCTTAAGTAATTACATGAAGCAATCAAATTCATTTGATCGTTTCGTGTTGAATTAGACTTTAAGATTGACCTATGCATGATAACATCTTTAGGTTAGAATCCCTCCTCATAAACTCAACATTAAGTACATTAAATGCATGACAACATTAGGGTAGACTTTCCCCTTAGACTTTTCCTTTGCATTACATCTTCTAATTAAAACTAAAATCTCTTTCCTTTATCAAAAAATCCAAAAAAACACTTAATTATTATTCGAACTCATTCCACACTTCACAAAAACACTCAACAAATCAAAGATTTCTTCGAAAGGACATGTTATCTCCGTTCTACCGCGATACAGGTCGTGCCTATTGCTAGAATGCGTGCGCTAACGTCGCCCACTAAAAAACACCAACAAACCAACATTTTCTATAAGAACTACGATGTTCTGATTCGTTCACGGGATACGTAGGCAAAGGGTTGCGAGACCCTCACGAACACACTAATAAAAAAAAAGCCATTCATTTCCCTTAGCAAGTATAGTTTTAGATAGACGAGCCTTTAGAAGCAAACAATCGAAATGGATCTCGTTGAGTACAACGGATGTGAAGGATGCTAATACCTTCCCCTCGCATAATTGACTTCCGTATCCTCTCTTTTGATCGCAAGACCATCTTATCCATCCTTTTAAGTTTTTTCTCGATATTTTTTCTTTCTTCGAAATAAATAAAATTCGATAACAGCTCTGTTTGTTTTTTTTTGCCGGTCACTTCAAATTCCAAAATTAATAAAACATTACTAAATTTTCATATAACATTTCTCAACCACTAAGGATGAGAGAAGTAATGCCCTTTTGTTTTAACAAATTTAATAATATGATATGATATTGGTTTATGGTTATGGCAGCTAGTTTATAGGTCCGGTCTTTCCTCCCCCGTTAAACTATGGGTCATGGAGGCAATCAGCTTCTTGTTTCGTTCTCATGCTTAGCTAATAATATGATTTTCAAACAGTCTTAAAGTTGTACTTTTGTTGATATTTTTCTTCCCCACTAAACTCAATGGGTTTTCATGTTGCACCTTTACTGGGTAGGTTTGTCATGCATCAAATATTTGTTCTACAACACACTTCTTTGCTTAGCTCAACAATCACCACTCAGGAAGTTAATGTGTAATCCCACCCAATTCTTAACTATTTTATGACTGAACTAACCGTCCATCTTTTTTATTCAAATCCCTTTCATCTCATTTTGTGTTAAAAAATTAAATAAGAGTTTTGCTTTTTAAGCTTGTTAAATTAATTGTTAATTATCGCACTAAATGATATTTCACCTTTAAAATCATGCATTATGAACCATCACAGATTTTTTGGTTGGTGCTTCTCTCATGTCCCTCCAAATTATATGAACTAATGAAACATTAAAAAATGGCATGTGGACCTATCTTCCTTCTAATCACCAAGAAAAAGTTTTTCTCTAATGAACAAATTAGGAAATCAATATGATTTTGTCTCCTTGCTTTTTGATTCTTTCTTCCATTATATGGGGAAGTGCTCCATATGATTGCTTACTTCTTTCTTTATATGAAATATTATTGAGAAAACAGTAACACTATTTTATTTTAGGTGTAAGTGTTTTTTTAATGTGGCGTATTTTTTTTATTTTCGTATTATATTTGTTTTATAAAATCTTTAAATGTTAAATTTTATTTAATTTTAGTCTTTAAAATTAAAATTTGCAGTAGGTTTTCTACAAAACTATCTTCAAAGTTTTTTTTGAAAATTTTAATTTTAAATACTAAAACAAAACAAAAAATTAACATTACAGAATTATTTGCAAAAAAATATACATAAGCAAAAATAAATAAATAAATATAATAACTTACAAAAACGAAAAGAATATTAAAGCCTTTATTTTATTACAAGTGTTTTATGTGATTTACATCATTAAACTCATGTAATTTACATTATTAAGCTCTTTTTAAGAGTTTAAGAGGGATAAGGAACTTTTAAGGAGAATAAGTCTACAAGAATAGAGTGTTGAAGGTTTATTTTTTTTCATATACGAAATTTTCATGATTTTGAAGATTTAAAAATATATTGAAATAGAGTTTTTGAAAGATTTGGATAAATTTTTTAAATCAATTTATCTTGTTATAATATTTTAAATATTAAAAACATATGGATACCCAACACTTAATGATCATTTTATACAAAAAATACTCAAAAAATATATATAAATTAAAAATTAAATATCTATGATAATGATTTTACCTCGCCTAACAAAAAGTCAAGGTAAAATATTTGTTACGTCCCATGTTTTTTTTCCAAAAAATAATCTATTTCGTTGATTTTAGTTGAAAATCGAGGGGTAAACTAATCCAGAATAGATATTTTGAATCCCGACAACTCCAGTTTATATTTTTAATTCATTAAAAGTAGCGTCTTCCTGCATATTTTATTTTTAATACAAAAATAAATTATTTTCCACTTTAGATATGTTTTTCGACCGAGGTAAAATTGCTTACTCTTTTATATATATATATATATATATATATATATATATATATATATATATATATATATATATATATATATATATATATATATATATATATATATATATATATATATATATATATATATATTAGCTTGTAGCTTTCAGTTTCAATAAACCTAAAAATAGTACACTAAATCAAACACACGCAGGACCATGAACAATGAGATCCCTAAACACATATCATCCTTAATACGAAGATGATATGTGTTTAGACTCTCGTTCGACACTTGTCATAATAAAAGACCGAAATCATTGCTTTCCGTTCTTCTTCACAGATATGGTACGTCAAACATCACTACTCATATTACATTAATGTTGATGTTGGTGTTTGTTGTTGTCGTTCTTTTTGAGACCTGGAATCTTAGAAGTTTAATCTTTTTGTTTTTAAGATGATATGAGATGGATGTTATATGTTATTGTTCTTATTGATATAAGTATGTTATAGGTTTATTGAGATTGGTGTTATAGGTTTATTGTTGATGTCGATTTGTTGAGAGATTTTTTTTAGTTGTTGCTTAATCTTAGTTGTTATTTAGTTTGAGATTGAATGTTAATGTTGTTGTTGTTATTTATTGTTATTGTTCTTTTTGAATTATCGATGTTATTGTTGTTGTTGTTTAGTTGTTCTACTTCGCAAAATGTTGGCAAGCTATATGTTATTAATTAGTTGTTGTTATTGAGTTCGAGTTTGAGATTGAGATTATGTTTTTGTGATTCTTTGTGCGGCTCTCTTCTTGTTCAGTCGGACATATCAAGAGGAAATTATATTGACAGAAAATACAGTTGAATTTATTATATATAATGTCGATTATTTGTTTCACTAACTCCTCTTTGAACATATAACTGAAGGTGAGAAAAATGCACAAGAAGAGGGTTGAATTGTGTATATCAAACTTTACTTCTTTTTGCAATCTTGAATAAAAATCAACCCCTCAAGCAAGAGACTTACTTGCTCAATCTTCGGATCGAGACTTCTTGATCAAGCTCTCAAGCAATAGACTTCCTTGCTCAATCCTTAAATTAAGACTTCATACTCAAGCCCTCAACCAAGAGACTTCCTTGTCTAAACCTGCAATTAAGGACTTCCTGCTTAATCACACTTGAAAAAAACTTTTGCTCAAGCATGAATGCTAGAGACTCCAGATTTCTTTTAACAAAAGAGTATGTTATTAACCTTTGTGTTAATATATGTGCTTCTTAGTTAAGCAGATACACAAAGGTTTTACACTTTGATTAAGATATAGATTATGTAGGTCCTAAGTGTATAAGAATAAAATCTTCATGCTTTCTCATCTTCTTCTACAGATATGATCTTCATTTGTTGTGCCTTGTTGTTGTTATCTTAAAATTTCTTTAAGGTATCTATTACATTGTTAATAGGGAAAAACCTATGGGTTGAAGGGAAAGTGCCTTGAAGGAGTAGGAACTTTAGGAGGGCCATAGTCAAGAAAATGATAGCTGGAAAATTCTTATAAAATCAAAGAGGAATCGACGAACGAGAAAAGCAAGTAGTCGACAGAAGAGATAATGAGATAGTCGACTTTGTTTCATTGATATAACTAGAATCTAAGACTTAGAGAATTTG